GGATTACTCCCCATTGACTTTAACATGGTGAAAAACTTTGACCCTTTTGGTTTTCTTGAAGGGATCGTTCTATATTTTGTGGGGTTTTGAGCTGAGAAGGCCATCTTGAAGATCATCTGGTGCAATTCACAGCCCTGCCCTTCTAGAGACTTGAACCCTCTAGTTTCTGAGCTACGCGCCCGCGAAGATGTGCAGCCTGTTTCGCGCGAGCTATTCCAAGGATTCCAGGCATTCATGACGTGATAACAATGTCATTCAAATACTGCTATTCTCTTAATCATATGTCGATCAAGGTCATTGAAATTATAATTGTCCAGTCGTGCATATCCTGCGTTCCTGAGCACAATTTCTAGAAATGACAACCATCAATTGCCTCTCAAGCAGTGTTGTGCAGGTTGTGCACCATTCTAACCTGCTCGGTTAGTTGGATTAGAGCCCTTTCGACCAGTGATGATCATTACAGGGCTATAGGATAAAGGAGAATAGACAACGGTGGGGCAGGACTACATGCGCCTGGGGGGAGGCCAATCGTTAAGCCTTAGCCCGCTCAGGGACCCGTCTGTGGGGTATGCACAGGACGCCCGGTCGGGCTCCCCTCCAGGGGGCATTCCGGCCCACTCGTGACTGGCACATGCAGCCTGCCCTGGACCAGCGGGACGTCACGAGGGTCGAGGATGAAGCAAGAAAAATTATTAGAGAGTCAGATGTCTAACATGATTGGTTGTTTGGATCAGAGCCCGTTCGAAGGTCAAAGGCCACTTTTTTCTGAAACTGGACTTTTTCAGCTTTTTTAGTTATACATGTGCGTACGTACGAGACCATGTCCCGCAAGGAAACGAAACACAAATAGGCGTGTTCGTTAGTTGATCCCTAGTAGAATGGGGTTACTTTTACGTGTTTTTAGCGTTTATCTAGAATGTAGGGCTCCGTTAATGTAGCTGTGTCGGCACACCGTGCACGGCCCGCGGGTTTGTCGGTTGCCGTCCGACGTCCGCGCCGGTCGTGGATCAACGTCCAGTGCTCCTCAGAAAACCGCAAAAAGCATTGCTTCTCAGAAACCGGAAGTCCTAGGTACATGCACTTTTTTGGTGTCAAAGCACCTGCCATGCATGTCCCAGGGGATATCGAAATTTTGGCGCGATTGCACGACATGCCGAAGATGTACCCTTAGAAATCCTTAGGGGAAGAAATCCATCAGAAATCCTTAGCAATTGCTAGCCCTTCCACGAAAGCGAGGGTTCAGATTGTATTATGGAGTGATTTTCACTCAGTTTTATACTATGCTGCATCATATTTTAATAAAGTCTTAATAAGCGACATGCCTATGATCCTTTGCTGATGTGATTCCGGGATAGCATCGCTGCTAACTGGCACATGTATCAAGGGTTGAGAAAATCTGCCTTAAAGACTTTTCACTTTGCTGCTAGGGCATTACCCATCCATAGTCAGTGCAAATGGTTGCCACTCAATAATGCATGGCTGGTTATGATGTGCCAGCTAACCAAATGCTACTTTAAAAGTCGTGATTTTGGTCCCTGAGCGTCTCTAGAACCAGAATTGTTTAACCCTATGCAGAGAGTCACATGACGAAATAGCCGCAGCGCCTGAAATCTGTAAGGACCAACCAACCTCGCTAAGTACGACTCGTTGAGAGGACGTTGAGCCGTCCACCAACGTACTCCAGGTCATTTAGGAGGCAATCCAGAATTGGACTTATGGTTGGTAGCCCTACGTGGAGAAAAATATTATCCAGGTGTGAATTATGACGTGATTTTGTACGGATGCACTAAAAAGAGTGTTCCACATTTATATGTGGTTTTGAACTTATACAGCCATCTTGAACACCTTTCAGTGCTGCTCACGATCCTGCCCTTCTGAAGACCTAAGCTCATTTAGTTTCTGAGCTACACGCCCGCGAAAATGGCGGGCAGGTATATCGGGAAGAATATTTCAAAGTCACCTTGTCATTCACGACGTCACAATAACGTCATTCAAATCCTGCCATTTCCCAAACCATGTGGCGGCCAAGGTCGAGAAAAATTTCGTTGTCGAGGGGCTCATATTTGGCGTCCTTGTGTCCGATTACCAGACATAACGGCCGTCAATTGGCCCTCAATATATGTTGTGCAAGGTACGATGACGTAATCAAACCATGACCCTCTGAGAAACATATTTACTAACCAGAGAATTATGTTGCCTAGAGCAGTCTTTTTCGCCTAAAAAGTATACCAATACTTACATGTGAGCTTGTTTCATCATATCTGGCACTTACTTCAGTATCTTCAAATGTGAAACATTCTCTTTAAACCTTGCACGAGGCCTTTATCCAACACTAGTACTGCGCACGCATGAAGTGAAGTAGTGCATGGGTTTGTTACGTGCAATTTGTGGTGGTTACTCGACCACTGACCATGTCTTTCTCCGTGCATGCGAGGCCAAAAGTAAAAAGTACCTTTACTTTTCCAGTTACTTTTCCCAGTTTCAGCACCAGTTTGCGGCGCGTTAAACGCTAGCCTGTCCTACCATCAACCTAAGGTTTACGCACGCCAAATAAACGCTCGTTCTAAACGTCTTGACCTTCTAACTGGTGTCGTAAGACCTTCGAAGGCACCTATTTCAGATATACCGTCGTGTTCGTCAACGCGATGGCCACCGCCTATTATTAGCCATCGGCCTATACTGCACAGCTTACGGAGGCTGCAACGTGGGGTGTGTGTCGGGTTTTTATTTCTCGGCTTGCGAGCGCGTATGTTCGTAGCTATCTTATATAACTTTTTCAGTCATAGTACTAAAAACAGGCTAAACATGTTCAGAGGAACCTGACTTGGTCATGCTGATACACTATTTTGGCCAAATTTTGATCTGCGAGGTGCGATCACGGGTTCTCAATGTCTCTGCATAAAACTAAGGAAAAATTTCGCCGAAGCCCCTGAATGCGGTTGCTCCAGTTTACTGACTTCGAATAACAAAAGGGGATTGCATGTTCCGGTGACTACTGGCTTGCTTACGTTAAAAAGCAACAAAAAAATGTAACAGAGAAAATCGTGCCCCTTGAGTCCAAGTAGCTCATATCCAGTAACTTTTGTCTAGCGGGCCTCTCGCCATAAGGCGGTCCTTTGTTAACCCCGTGCATCCCCTTACCAAAACTCTGCCTATGCCACTGGGGGCCCCTGTGTGCCTAACTTTGCCCATGCGCCCTTTTAGCTACTCATGCCGACCCCTGTTGCCCAGGGAGGATCCCTATACATGAAGTCGGCATGGGAAGTCCGTTGACGCCTCTATACTCAAGAAATTCCAAATGAGCGTCAAAAATTACCTTAAAACAAAGTTTTTCGGAGCAAGGGCTGTTTGATTTTGACCTTTGTTCAGATCGTTATCTGATTTGAATTGTCTAATTGTCTGAGAAACCATTTCAAAGTTATATATGACATCGTCCAACATCGTCTCTGTCATTGCATGAACTTGAAAATTCTGTAAGAAGTGCCTTGGCTGACAACCATGACCTGACTTTGACCTGTTGCGGGTCAGCGACCTTGAGAGACATGGACAATTTGGTTTCACCGAAGGACTTGCGATTCAAATGTCTACAGTTTTGTAGGTCTGCCGTTGCCGCCCCCCATCGTTCGGAGGTTATTTTGGAAAAACCTCAGGTCAAATTGATTCCCCACCTAATCGCGCTTTAAGCCATGCAGAACGCTTTGAGACGTTGGAAGGTACACGACAAATGATTAATTTTACGTTAACACGACCAAAGTCACAAATCACAGCTCAGCGGCTCGGTATGTGGAAGTTAGCATTAACACAAAAAGTGTTTCAATGCATTGTGGATGAATGGCTTAATATTAATGGCATTGTGGATAAATGCAAGCGTTTTTTCCTCTTCCAGATTGGCCTTGGCAAAATGCGTCCAAGCACAGAACAACTGGGTGCTTCCAAACCGGACCAAGACGCCGTCTCCTCGGTTTCTGTCGGTATGGGTGACAATTCGCCCTCAGACTACACCAACCGGCAGGGCAGTGAGGACGAGATAAGCGTTTCTGAAATTGGAACTGTTGACTCGGCCGCTGACTTTGCATTCGACATGTGCCACACCATCTTCAAGAGACTCAAAAAAGGCATGGGCGTCGGTTCATGGTACGCCAGAAAGGCGAAGATGATAACAGCTCTGGCTGCGTACCTGAGCATCGCATCAGCAACATTCTTATACTCCTTCCATAGAAATAGTTTACCCGTAATAGTGGTATTCTACATGTGTGACGCAGTCTACGTTGGCGTCGTGCTGTTCACCGGATTTGTAGCGCTCAGCCCAGCATCGGCGTGGTCTACTCCGCTTCAGCTACAGCTCCGTCAAGAGGCCCGCCATTTCATTCTCTATGACATCTTTACGATTCTTCCCCTGGAGTTCATTCTGCCTCCATATTCCAAGCACACATCCCCCAGCCTCCTTGACGGCACGGTCGCCGCGTGCCGGTTTAACAGGGTGCTGAGAGTGCGCCATCTCGCGAGGTACTTTGCCGACAAAAAGAAAGACGTCATTCTCGGCATACGTTTTTCTGACGTCTTGTCGGCAGGGTGTGCTTTGACATTGCTGATTCACGTTTCGGCGTGTTATTGGTATTCCTTGAACTGTAAACCGCTGTTGACAAACTACGAATCGACTCCTCTGTGCTGGGCCACAGTCGCAAAAGGTTTTATCAATAGGAATGTTTCCAAAAGTCTTTCGGAGTCTAAATTCGGATACACCCCACTAGCAAGTTCTGATATGCACAGCTGGACGTTGGATCTTTTCCAGGTGAGTGGCTCTGTGGACCTCGACTTCTTTCTTAGTCTCTACACGATATGTGTGTATTGGTCAGCATCGTCAGTACTCGGTGTTGGTTATGGCGATTACCACGCTTTGCGGTACGCGGAGACCCTATTCAGCATCATGGTGATGCTTTTAGGGTCGGCCATCACCAATGGCCTAGTGGTAGGAAGCCTGGCTTCGTTGCTCACAAATGTAGAGAGCCAGCGAGCCTCCTTCGCGCACCGGCTTCAGATGATCAAACGCTATCTTCGGGACAACAATCACTCTACCGAGTTATCAGAGTTTATTCAGGGTTTCTACGAATATACATGGTTCAAGAGAAAAGGTCGAACAGATGCCAACATTTACGGGGCCCTGCCACTGTCGCTGCAGTCCGAGATCTGTCTGAGTGTGAATCGGTGTGCCCTGAGCACGTCACCGATGTTTCAAAATCTGGACGAGGGCTTCCTGCGAGCCATCGCCCTGAGAATCCAGCGTCAGTTCTTCCTGCCCGGACAAATCGTCATCAAGAGGGGCACAGTCTGCCGCTCCATGTTCTACATCGTGCAGGGAGAACTGGAGGTTCTTGGCGGACGAGACAACGCCACGGCCGTGGCCGTGCTCCGAGCAGGCAAGCTCTTCGGGGAGGTGAACCTGGTGCTGAGCTTCGCTCGGACGGCGACGATCCGCGCAGCCACACACTGTGACCTGCTGGTGCTCAACCAGCACGACGTGACCCCACTACTGCAGCATTATCCCGAAGTACGAACGGCCATGTGCATGCACGTGAAAGGGCTGTTCGAGACTGGCACTGATGAACCTAATGCCTGGAGTAGCACGACAGGCATGACAGGTCCAGATACGTCAAGGATGAATGCTGAAAAGAGCCAGTCCTTTGCCATCGGTTTTAGGCCCACCCTGAGTACGATGGAAGAGGGAGATACGAGCTCGTTGGAGCAAAAGGATGGAGCACCGTTTCTAGCGGTTCCGAAACCAGAAGAAAATCAAGAGAGAGGCGGATTGACAGAACAAACTAGCACCTATACTTCAAGATTTCCTTTAATTTCAAATTCAGCTGGAGCGGGTGGAACACTTCCTAACGCTTCCCACGAAAACACGTCGAGCAAACCAACAGTTGGGGAGGGCGCTGGGTCGTCTCTGTCACTTCCAGTCGCGTCGTCGCACCCCAAGCTACAGGACGTGCAGCTAAAGCCATCATCCAGAATGGTTCAGATAAGAAAATTAAGTGCCCAATTCTTACCGTCCATCCGCAAAGTGTCAAGCACACACCTCACGCCGCAAGAAAGCGCCCAACAGATCGCCGCAATGCCAGCTTTCGAACAGCCGGATGACGTGTTTGCCGGAAGCGACGACAGTCACTTCAGGTGGCGGCGCTTCAGCTGGGCGGAAGGAGAGAGCATATATGAACAGGTACGACGTCCCACCATCCGCGCTCTGCCCTCCGGTGCCTCTCAGCTGGAGCTCGGCAACGGCGTGGCCTGGCTCCAGCAAGACAACCTTCCTCACGGCCGGCCGCTTGGTTGGTTGTGGAAAGTCTTTCGCAGTCCGAGCATACGCGGTGACGGCCAGCTTGACAGAATTTGGAAAACCTTCGTGTGCCTCGTGGTATTCGTGCAGTGGCACATCTACCTGTACTACGCGTGCTTTAAGGACGGGTATTCCCCGGAAATGCTTGGACTGACCTACCTGATGGACTCTGTCCACGTGCTAGATATTTTGTTCAGCATGATGACCATCGTCATTAGCCCTCAAGATTCCTACCAAACATTTGGGGAAATATTCCACTATCACGCGAGAAGAGCAACGTTTTACTTGGATCTTCTTGCCGCCCTGCCACTGGACTTGATCAGCATACCATTCGGGATGTTTTTGTCGTCTGTGAGAATGGGTCGGCTTATAGCCGTCTGCAAGCTGAACAAGTTGGCTAAGGCGTGGATAATCCCGCGGCGTTTTAGGTTCTTGCAAGACCAGCTTCAAGAGTCACTGACCGTCATTCGGCCAATTGAGCTCATCACCTACCTTATAATGGGAGTCCATTTTTCAGCTTGCATGTGGTTCATGGACTCAAATATCAAGTATGTCTTTTTTGCGATACCAAACTCTGAAATGTGGCTTCATCAGTTCGAAAAGGTAAAAGCAATAGAGAGTGGGTGGCGTGCTGGGAGCAGCCCGAAATATGACCCGTACATTTTATCATTGTACTGGGCTACAGCCACAATGTCCACCACTGGATTTGGTGACATTGTTGCGATGACTACCACTGAGTACTATATCAGCATCATAGTCATGGTGTTTGGACTGGTGCTATTTGCTTACTCACTGGCCTCGTATGCATCCCTTTTAACCAACCGAGACAGGCCCAAGGTACAATTTCAATCCATTGTCTTTGCCATGCAACAGTTCATGATCGAAAACCGGCTGGACAAAGATCTAAGGAGACGCGTGCTCCACTTTATTGATCTGCAATGGCGTACCTACCACGGCATGGTTATGCCCGGCAAGCAATTTTTGCTGCACGATCTGCCCGAGGCACTGCAGGAAGACCTTGCCTTGGATGGTATCGCCAAATTGCTTGGCAATATCTCTCTGTTTCGAAACACGGACATCGATTTTCGACAGGCACTAGCCCGCAGATGCCCACGTTACCTCTTCCCGGCCAACGAGTATGTCCTGCGCACTGGGGACATGTCCCGCGACATGTATGTCATCGTGCGTGGCTACTGTGAAGCGTACCTCGGTAAGAAGCAGACGTCACTCGGCTTGATGGGACCCGGGGAGTGTTTTGGCGAGGCTGGAATGTTGTACGGGCTCCCGAAGCCGGCCAACGTCATCACGCGGACAACTTGTGATTTACTCATTATCCCACATGGTGAGCTTCACAGGGTCATGAAACACTTTCCCACCGTCAACAAGGAGATCAGCGAAATACAGGAGGATGCCGACGTTCAGCACGCCGTCAAGATGAACCACGCGCGCGTGTGGCGGCTGGCCAGGAGTCTGCCACGCGAAGAGGGTTCGCTCCTCACCGTGGACGAGACACCGTCTTTCACCACCTTCTCGAAAGAGGAGCGGAAAACGGCCGAGTACCAAAAGCCATTTCACAGGCTTGGCCACTTGTCATTCCTGGGCCGCCTGCTGATGCCGCGCACCATCCGACCAGACGGCAGATTCGCAGCGAGGCTGGAGCAGGTCCGTGTAGCCGCTATAGTGCTGCTGCTCGTCCTGACGCCAGTGCACGTGACGTTTCTGCCGCACAACATCAGCGTGTACGCCATCTGTCTGCTGCTGGACGTGGCGGCCGTCCTCATCATGTACCTGCGGCTGCACTTCGCATACTATGACGCATCATCGACGCTGGTCTCTCACCCCATCTCCACCGCTGAGAACTACTTGGCCTCGGCGTTCTTGCTTGATCTGGCCGCCTGCTTCCCGTTCGACTTATTCGCAATGCTGTTCTATCCCGGAAGCGTGTACGAAACCTACACACGATCGTGCTTTTCCGGATGAACCGCTTTGCGCAAGTGTACGAGGTCCTCTGGGCGTTCTCGTACTGGGAGCAGGGAGTGCTCTTCCGTGCAGAGCTGTTCAAAGTCATAAAACACCTTTGGTTTCTTGGAATGTACGTACATATTCTAGCCTGCTTTTGGGCATATTTGGCGTGCCCAACATCGGCACCATATGCTATCACATCACCAGCACCTGCGGGTCGTGCGCTGAACATTCAAGTCAGGAACCATTCTCAGTTCCTGAAAGCGCATCATAACTGTCGCGCAATTTCTTGGTACACCATGTCCAACTTCACGCAATCCGACAACGCTCAGGACTTATACATACTCAGTGTATTGTTCACCTTGGAAATGCTTGCGGCTGTTGGATCTGGCGACCTCACACCCCAGACTCGCTCAGAGTATATCTTATCTATTGTTTTGATGATACATGGTGTCGTTTTCTTCGGCTACATTATCGCTAGCATGACAGCTAGTCTCGTTAACGCAGATACTACTCGTGCTAGATTTAACGAGCGCATGAGGACTCTGTGTCAACGAATGAAATATGAAGATGTGCCTATGGCAGTGCAACAAAAGGTACTGCGGCATATTGAGTACAAATTTTCGCGGTCAACCAGAATGCACGCCCACATCCACTTCACTAACTTGCCACCGAGCATCCGGGGAGATGTAGCCTTTGTTTTGTTTGCGGATCTTATCAGCTCAGTGCCAATTTTCAAAACGATTGATCGAAGTTTCCATCGTATGCTTGCAATGTGTCTGAAAGAGGTATTTTTTCTCGGGGGTGAAACAGTTATTTTCGAGGGAGACGTGGGTGAGGAGATGTACTTCATACATCGTGGGTTCTGCGACATCACTGATGACGATGGCAATGCCACCAAGACTCTTGGGCCTGGCGGTTTTTCGGAGAGGTCAGCGTCTTGTTCTCGGTTCCGCGCACGGTGACCATTCGTGCTCAGACCAACGCTGACCTGTTCGTCCTGACTAAAAATGATCTCCAGGATGTTTTAGAGAACTGTCCGGAAATCAAGCGCGAGATTGAGCGCATCGCCATAGAGAGGCTCCATGATGCTGGCAGCCGTCAAATGTCAAGATCAGCTGAAGATCTGGCTAAAGGGCGGCTCTCGAGCACCTCGAAAAAGTTTGGTCCCGACGTAGGAAATCGCTTCGTGGGAACGCGACACGGGCGAAAGCACAAAAGCCGACGCCATCGCAGTTTCCGAGATCAGCTCACCGCGGCGTTGTCAAGTTCCTTCAGCCTCAAGGAGCGCCGTGCGCGTCGCGAACGATCGTTGCTGGAGAAAGAGTATCAAGATCTGCTGAATCAGGAAAGCGCCACGCTACCGCAAAAGTCTGAGCCGAAAAAACGTGGAAGCTCTTTGACCATGTATTTGATGAACGCGGTGTCAACCTTCACTGGAGACTTGTTTTCGTCTCATGCGATGCCTTTCGGCAGGGGGCGGGGTTCTCACCCGGACCGTGCAACACAAGATCCGGAGGCTCCTAGTTCAGGGCAGGATGAATCAGGTTCACAACCGACAGACAAGAAGTCGGAGACGGAGCCGAGTGGGCTTCGTGCTTCCGACTCGGTCGGGAGTAATCCGTCCGCGACAGGTAGCCGTATTATACACGAGAAAGGAAGAACAACCAAGAAACAGAGCAAAGAACTGACAGCAAAATCGCTCACCCGTGTTCCTTCGATCCAGGTGAGCGAGTCGCAGAACGTAGTGGCTGACGGGGAGGACGATGTGACCGCGTTGCAGGCGCAGGCGTCCTCCTTGTCACAAAGCCCCTTCATTGGCAGCACCGCCTCTCATGAAATCACTGAGGTGTACGTCAGCAACCAGACCATACAGGCCGAGTCTTACATGTCGTTCGACCCCGAAGGCATCGACAAGTCCTCAGAGACCAAATTGGGAGACAAAGACTCACGATATTCGCCTTTATCAAACCTGTCGGGCATGAGCTACAGAAGCGAGCGCAGTGCTTTTCAACCGCCCGCGGCATTCAAGTGGTGTCACAGCCTCGGGAAGAGGGTTCGCGCACATTTGCAAGCTAACGTTGTAATCAACCCGGATTCGAGGCTGCTGTTCGCGTTCAACCTGTTGCTTACGGTGAGCGGAGCAGCATCCATTGCCCTTTTCTTCTACCATGTGACGTTCCAAAGTGTCAATCACCGAGTGGACATTGCTTTCGGGTTGTGCACCTGCGTATACATCTCCAACATTTGCATACGCTTGCATACAGCTTACTATGATAATTACGGCGACCTGGTACGTGACCACAAGATTATCAGACGCGTCTACATGCATCGTCCCACCGGATTCCTAGTGGATGCTCTCTCAGCTCTGCCCGTTGGCCTGCTGATTTTCATCCGCCCGGAGCACAAAGCTCTCCGGCATACAGTCACTCTCGTCCGAATGGTGCATCTCACCCGCGTCTACTCGGCATTCAGCTTCTTCCGCACTTTGGAGCGCCGCCTCATTGCGCCAATCCTCCTCTTGCGCGGCATACGAGACCTCGGTCTGCTGTTCATGCTGCTCCACATCTGCGCCTGCTTCTGGTACATGGTGGCCTGTCCGGGCGTGCGGTGCAGAGATGACTCGTGGGTAGCATTTCAAAACCTCTTGAACACGACGCACGGCGAGATCTACGCCAACGCCTTCTACTTCGTGGTGGCGACGGCGACAAGTACCGGGTACGGAGACATCAACGCGCGCAACATAGACGAAGCAGTACTAAATATCCCCATCATCCTGATCGGAAAGCTGTCGCTAGGTAAGTTGTGCACACAAAATTATAATGTTTTTGCCTGCTGACCGTTTATGCTTCCTCGTAGTGCGCAATATTAAGGCTTAGTTGCGTCTGTGTTTGATATTTTTGTTACCACGTTAGATCGCATTATTTCTTTTGTGCCATATTGCCGTAACATCTGAATCTGTTGGTGACATTTAAGGGCTTTTCAAATTTCGGCTAGTGGTTCGAATATGAAGTCGCGCACAATGCGATTGCCAAATCACGCCTTCCCGTTTATGTAACCGCGTGAAGTCTGATGGCAAATCCATGCACTCGTGCTGCAGCGAAACCCTAGCGAATAAGCACTGATGATCAATTGCATCATCTGAATGGGACGCCGACACGCGTTGATGTGCTTCTTCGTGCTCCTCGCAGGCCTCGTACTCGGTGACCTCGCTTCGACCTTGAGTAACCTGGAGGTGACTCGTGTCGAGACGGAGACTAGACTAGGGGTCATCGTAAGCCAGATGAAGGAGCAAAACGTGCCGCATCGTCTGCAGGAGCGTGTTATTCAGTACGTCGGCTATGAGTGGATCCGGACCAGGGGACAGAGGCTTCAGGAGCTGCTCAAAGACCTCCCCTACTGCCTGCAGGTGAGATTGCCGCGCGCTGCGAGCGCGTCGCAACCCAAACGCCACAATTCACAACGTGACTGTGGCCTACGGGGTCTCCATCCTGCCGGATGTCATTCTGATGTGTCTCTGATTCGGATGTCATTCCGATGTGTCTCTGAACCCCTGCCAGGACGCCCCTCACGTCCCGCGGCGCAGTCGGGTTATCCTCTGTCCTCCTCCCGGCGCCAGTTCTGGGCCGGCGCGAAGACAATGGTCTCTCTGATCGTGGCGGCCCGGGCTGCCCCCGTTCGCAGGCGGGGCGGGCCGCCGCCGGGACCGCGGAGCCCGGTGGCGGCCCGGGCTGCCCCCGTTCGCAGCCGGGGCGGGCCGCCGCCGGGGCCGCGGAACCCGGTGGCGGCCCGGGCTGCCCCCGTTCGCAGCCGGGGCGGGCCGCCGCCGGGGCCGCGGAACCCGGTGGCGGCCCGGGCTGCCCCCGTTTGCAGACGGGGCGGGCCGCCGTCGGGGCCGCGGGGCCCGGCGGCGGCCCGGGCTGCCCTCGTTCGCAGACGGGGCGGGCCGCCGCCGGGGCCGCGGGGCCCGGCGCAGGTAATCAGCTGATCGATGGGTGCGGGCGCTGGAGGCCAAGGTCGCTGACCGCGTCTGTTCGGCCCAGCGGCGGTGCTCTGATCGGGTCAGGGTCACCCCCAGCGATCGAAGCAACTAGCGGAGGAGTGTCAGTATTACGGCCACGCCGAGCAGCCCCGCAGCCATTACGGGCAGCGGTGGCAGCCGCCTTCGTGTTACCTGGGCGTGCCTCTGCCTGCAAATTATGTTCCGCTTTCCACTGCTAGGGAACACATCATGCGAATAATCCTGACCAACACAATGTTACCTTGCAAGAATCCTGACACTGGTGTCTATGCAGTTATGCAGCTCGCAGCAAACCGTTGCGTCGTTGTCAGTGGTGACTTATATACAATGCGGGCTCACGCATTAACCACTTGAGTATATCCCTACTCGGCGATCTAAAATCGTTGACATTGTTGATAAAAAACAAGGAATGGGAACAACTCTTTGCTGGCCATCTCCTAAACAGAGAGTTTTGAACCACCCCACATTCATGCATCACTTCAGTGCTGCTTTTTGCGGAAAGAATGACTTTTTCCGGTGGTTTGACGTTCGTGTAGGACAGTTTACGACCTAGAGTCCGAAATGGTCAAGTACCCCTAGATATTGTCAGTGGAAGAAACTCTAACGGTCAGCATCGTACCGACCAAACTGGCAGGTTTCGAAAAGACTTATCATAAATTCACCAATGAATGAGCTAGCTCGAGATAAGATCCATCATCCCGACTGCTCCGGAGGTTTACAACCATTTCAGATCCCCTTGACCGCACATTTTGGCACCAGGTCGTGGACTTGGAATGTCTTGGGGTCCCGTCATCGCCGCAAATATGGTGAGCATCGTAGAGTTTTTGGCAATATCGGGATTTCTTACCTTTCAGAGGTTAGGAGTCCCAACCTCCTAAGCTTTGACTTCCGGCCCCAACTTCAACTTCTGACAGCTTCCGGCTTTTAACCCTTGCCCTGATACGGGAGGGGTCGATGCGATTCCCCCCCCCCCCCCCACGAGGTTTTTTGAAGATACGTCTCCGGCATATTGTGTAGTCCTTTGCCATAGGCGCATCATAATTTATCATCCATATTCGCGACACACGCTGTGTCTTAAACAAAAGCATTGGTTGTTGACGGCCGACCCTTTTCACAGTTGGAGGTGTTTATGACCACCTTCGGCGCTCAGCTGCGCTCGCTCACCATATTCCAGCGGGCGCCGCAGCGGCTGATCCGCCGTCTCAGCTACCTGTGTCACCAGCAGTTCTTCCTGCCAGGTCAGCCAGCGACCCTCATGCCGACAGCGCGATCTCATCGGAGCCTTGCGCTAACCTCATCTCCGCACTTCGTTGGCTATCTCGCACATGCATGCGTGGTTGCTCGTTATTAGGTGAACGCCGCCACGAGAATAACACGAAAACACTAAATCTGACGTAAATTGTTCAATACTACGTGACTTTCAAGTTCACATTCGAGGTCAAATGACGCGAACGCCACATCACGCAAAATATTTCGGTTGGTTTCGTACTTCTGGGGACCACAATCAACGTATTAATGTCAGTATATAGTGGTGCAACCACCAACGCTAGAAAGGCTACGCCGTATCAGCCATAAATTGCTTTTGAAAATGTTCAGAACGGGAAGGGGTCAAGTTGATCCCCGATCCGAGAGCGTGTCAATAATAGCTAGACATTTGGAAGCCCCATTAAAAGCGCGAGCATTTTCTGAACCATAATTGCAGTAAATTAGTCCTCATCAATGTTTTCACGGTGCATTTAAAGGCACCTAATGAACAATTTACATAACTCTTAATTGGCTGCAAGTATTGGTAAATGTCACTCTTGATATCGTGGCAAAAACTAGAGTTGATGAATGTGTTGCGGCGTCAAATTGGGACCAACTTTTTTGCGCACCACTCGCATGTCACCGAAAATCTTGGCTTTAAAGAGCAGCACTATTTTGCAGGGGATGAACGTGGGCGCTTTGACTTAAGTCAAGGAAAAAAGTAAATGTTGTAGGATGTGCGATTGGGCCCGATGGTCCGGCCTCCAAAATCCAGTAGCTAGATCCGTTAATGTAGCGGGGTATTTGCCTCCCCTTGCAGATGCATGTTTCTCGTATACAGCGAGGCACCTGCCAACACTAAAACCCTCCCTCCCCTCGTAACAAAAAGTGGTGGTTGCTGTCATCACCAAATACAAATCGTAACAGCTAAGCGGACAAACGATGCAATAATCTTAACACGCCTAGGGCCATAGGACACGCAATGGTTTGTGAGGTCAAAGTGAACAGCTCTGGAATGCGGGGATGACCTAACTCCTTCGCGGCCTATCCTATCCCCTTCCCCCACAGCCAAATGCGTGTCGCCTCCCATGACCGTCATAGAAGAGCGCCATCGGCGCCCTAAGGTGGCCTCTAGAGGGGCGTCTTCGCCTGCCGATCAGAAGAGGCGCGCGCCTCCAGTGTCTGCTCCGTGGATCCAGCTCTGTGTGACCATCATGCTGCTTAGATTCAAGACTTTTTATAACCTATACCAAGTTCAAAAACATATCTTGCGTTTCATCAAAACGAGGTGGGCTAAATCCGATGATAATAAAATGAGGAGGCGGTAGGTTATCGGACCTGTGCTTTGCCCTCCCAATAATTTGCACAGATTGGCATCCCTGCCCCCGTCATTTGGGATTGAGTCTGACCTTGAAATGTAGCCTAGGGAGGGAGGACCTCCCTAGCCTAGGGAGCCTAGGGAGGTCAGCACTTTTTCCGGACGACAGCTTATGCGTTAAAAACGGTTCTGGTGCCTAAAAAACTGAAATGGGCCGGTGCATTTGGAGTGTATTGAAGTCCCCGATGTTTGACCTTCAAGGGTTACCATGAGTGTCCGTGGCCTTTTCTGGCGCTAGTTTATGCGCTGAATGTCATAATGATGGTAAAAAATCAGACATCAGCCAGTAACTTTTGGGTGACATGGACTTCCCAGCGATCTGAAATAAAATTGGACCGGGGACATGCCCCTTCTTGGGTCAAGTTATTTACGTTTGATCCTAGACGGTTGCATGCATTCGGTCCTAATTCGTATTAGTTCAGAGAAAATTAACATTTGCGCCCACATTAAAAAAGTTTTGGGTGCATGCCTGGTGCGACATAAGCCTGACTGTCTTATTATATGGACTTCTACACCTGCTGAACTTTCGGGAAGGACGGACACGTTTCAAACGCACCGATAAGATCCATTTATATGGATTCCCGGCTGTACATGAGTGTTTTCGCCTAATCTTTCTTGCCTTCCGTGTGGCGATAACACCCACGTCTGTGATCACGCAGTTTGTCTCATTCAACAAAAGGCGTCTTACCATTCATTACGGCCGCGTCCGCAAAATCCGAGTTTCAACTCCCCGGTAAATTTGGCTGAACAATACAAATAATTATGCGGACTCGGAATAATTCAGATATCTACCTTTCACTCACATGCTCTGGTCGGATTGCGAATCCGGTACATTGTCACCGTCAACACACTTATGACCGCATTGGCTGTCCATGGTTTCGACGAGACGAAAGGTTCGATCCGTTTGGACGCCATCATGCAGCACATTGGCTGACAGTGTCGATCATCCGCCTGCCAGTCGTATGGGCCGTACTGAGCGCTCACCCCGCTGGCTGACCCGCTAGAACATCCACACGCCGCACGTCGCATCAGGCCCCGAGAGGGGCTAGCCTCGCAGCAAAGGTGACACACAGTCACGCGGTCCGATGCAGCCAATTTCCGCACTGAGAACTGGACGCTTAACATCACGTTTGGAAGCAATCGGTGCAGGTGATTTGCTTTAGTTTTCCTGCTCTGCGGGAAAACCAGTGCTGCAGAACCGCAGCGCGCCGACAGACGACCGTTACCGACGCTCTCCCCCGGCAGGAGACTTCATCACGAAGCGAGGGGACATCGGCGACAAGGTGTTCGTCGTCCGGCGCGGCTCGGTGCTCGTGTACGACACCTCGCCGTCGGACCCCGAGTACTTCCTGTACTCGGGCTCCATCTACGGCGACCTGCAGATCATCTTCCCCACCATGCCGTACGCGCACAACCTGGTGGCCGACGATCCCACCGACGTGCTGGTCATCAACCAGACGGACGTGCGGCGGCTGCTGGCCGACTACCCGCACTTCTACTTCAAGTAAGTCGAGGGACCAGCCGGACGTGCGGCGGTTGTTGGCCGACTACCCGCACTTCTACCTAAAGTAAGTCGAGCGATCAGCCGGACGTGCGGCGGTTGCTGGCCGACTACCCGCGCTTCTACTTCAAGTAAGTCGAGGGGCACCGCCGCGTCCGGGCCGCTGCCGTACGTCAGCCGGACTTGAGTGTTATGCGTGTTTAATGGACATGTGACCGAACGTCTTTCTGAGGTCGCGTGACATTACAGCCGGTGCTAACGGTGGCCTGCTGGGGCTTGAACGGTCGCGGGGACCGTGGTTGTTCGCAGAAAAGATGTGCTTGATGGACATTGATCCACGCGCGTGTTCATGCACGCAACCGCGCCGATGAGGCTATCTTGGAGTCCAATCAGCTCCCATGGCTGGGGATCTGAAACCAAAACCCGGCAGCCCAAAGAAACACTGGGGCCCATCATCTGCAGGCTGTTTGTACGTCTCACGCAGGCCACCCTGCACGCACCGGTGCTCCTCTCGTGAAATAGAGCCGGTGCGCCGACAGCTTATCGGAAATGACGCATGTTCGTAGTGATGGAAGCACCAAGCGTTGGTATCAGAGAAAGAGCGTAGTGGACAGCGCGAGTTTAATAGAAGGATAGTGTTTAACATTGGTATTTTCGAGGGAATTTTTATTTAGATAACCATTTTGAAGATCATTCAGTGCGGTTCACAGCACTGCCTTTTTGAGACTTACTAAAAAAATTCCGGTTTTCTGGGCTAGGCGCCCTCAAACCTGCGCACACCATTTCGTTTAGTCTATTTCAGGCTCGCACAGAAAAATATGACGTCATGGAAACGTAACGCAAATACTGCCACCCCATTGGTCACGTGTTACTCAAGGCCAAGATAACCAGGAGTGTCGAGCTATTCATGTTTGGCTTACGACATTGTCTGCTTGCAAAGTATCTCAAATATGCCAAGTTAGTTTGAAATACAATTCTATCTGACAGCTTGGTCTATTTATGCTGTAAGCCTTTCAACACATTCACACCGATCGCTGTAATTTTCAACGATGTACAACAAACATATTTGCTACGCTCATCCCAAGGCGCGTCCACGTATGTGGCCAGGAGTACACTGAAGGGTAAAGGGAGCTGCTGTACGTCGGCTAAGTGACTCAAGACTGCCATCCATTGCACATATTGGAATAAATCACCCTGATGCTACGTGGACATGTCACAACTCGCCCCACTCTCCCCTGCCATTGGCAGAAGCGTTGAACACGGCCAAAAAACGGTGAAATCGGTGTAGAAGTGGTAATTCTACGGCATTGGGGTTTCGAAATTTTATTACGGAGCTTTGGACATGACCGAATATGTTTCAGTCCATTTGCATGTTGTTTTTTTAAATTTGGTCCGAACCCTTTGAACGGATGGATTTCTGGGAACAGCGCTCAAACTAAGCAGTGCTTATTGTGTGAGCCCTGACCCCCACCGCAATTCCAATCGCGCAATTCGATCGCGCAATTCCAGGCAACGGCAGAATTCAGTGGCGAAAGCTTTACATGCCGCAATGCTCGGCACGGTCCGTCCTGCTCCCTGACGTCAACTGACCTTTAGCGCGACCGCTGCCACCGGTCGCAGGCGATACCTGCCAGAGGCAAATAGTGAGCGTCCCAAACCGACTCGGACCCATCCCGCCACAGGTGGATGGGTCGGAATACAGGCGCTCAACCAACTGAGCCACCGGGACGAACAAATGTTGAAGGTCAATCCAATCCCAATCTGCTCACCATAAAATTCGAATACCAATTTGCAGCGAATCTTTAGCTCTAGCCTACAAACTTTGAGGACAATATTACCATTTTGAAATGTACGCACGCTCCTAGCTTCGCATACAAAGTACCGTGCAATGATTGGATGCCAAGTGATACAATTAAACTATTTCCATTTTTTGAGAACATAAGTCAGATACTGAAAAATGAACAAGTTAACGGATTAATGGATTAGGTTTAGCTACCTTTAGCTAAGCTTCTTTAGACGTTGAACAGATCAGTTTTAGTTTACTTAACCAATTCAGTTGGCGGATCAACATTAACGGGAGTTAAATCTTGGGTAAAGGGAGCGTTTCATATTTGTACGAGGTTTTGGGCCGAAATACTCCTTTTGAAGACCATTCGATGCAGTTTACAGCCTTGAACTTCCTAAACCCTAAAACCCTATAGCTTCTGAGCTTCACGCCCGCAAAGGTGTGCAAATTATTTTGTACAGGCTGTTTTAAGGCCATTCAGGCGCGCATGAAGTCACATTAATGCCATTCAATTCTTGCCACCCCTTAGTTTATGCTGCTTTCAAGGTAAAGCAGAACATTATTTTCCAGCCGTTCAGCTTTGGCGTCCCTGAGCACGATTTCCAATTATAGTGGGCGTCCATTAGGTCTTAGTGTTGAGCAAGTTGTGCATGTTTCAAATACGGTTTAGGTATTTGAATTACAATCCTATCAATCAGCAATAATCATTTCAGGACTATGGAATGAAGGACAATGAGCAACGGTGAGGTAGCACTACATGCACCAAGGGGGGGGGGGGCAACCGCCGAGCCTAAGTCCGCGCAGGGACCCCTCTGAGGGGTGTGCGCCGGGCTCTCTCTCCAGAGATCTCTCAGCCCACTCGTGGCTGGCGTATGTAGTCTACCCCGGACAAGCGGAGCGTCGTGGAGATGAGGGATGAATCACGAAAGAGGATGAGGGGGTGTGATCCTTAATCATGGATCACGTGTTGTGCTACATGATGTAAGAAGGTGGGCATGGCTGCTTGTTATTACAGAAATCTGACTTGTAATCGAATAACTTAAGAAAAGCGCCATAACCGAACATGTGAGTACAAGTAAACATGTTGAACCCACGGATAACATGCAAGAACACCACGAGCACTAAACAACAGCGCATAACGAGGTTTAGCTCAGCGAATTCTTCCACCACCGCCACTGCTATTCCTCGGCGAGTTGAAGTACTCCGTGTGAGTGCTAGGGTGACAATTTCGAACGTCTAGTTTGCCGTCATCTCAACGTGATGCAGGGGTCCTCGACGCGATCAAACTATACCACATCGATGAGCATATTTCCAGATGAAATAATTGCGTCGTTTAGAGCAGTCTTTTCCACTTAAAAGTATACCAAGACTTTTAAGAGAGCTTTGTTCATATATGATGCTTGTTTCAATATCTTCAAACGTGGAACCTTCCGTTCAACTTTGCACAATTCTGTAAATCTGTATATTGTGTATGGTGCATACCCTACGCAGTACTGTAAATCGTGCATAAATTAACCACAACAGGTCTCCGTCTCTTGACGCCCACAACCATGCGTTTGGGATCGGTGTGAGCGTAAAGCAGATACACTCAAAAACCGCAATAACCGTTCGCATATTTAGATTAACTAAAGACGTTCGTTATCCGAAAACACACTGTGAAAGTCAAAGGAGGTTTAAGACGATCTTGTTTCCCTTGTTTCTTTCTCACTACCGGTTACCGTCTAGCGTTTGCAGGGGGATGGGCATGAAAGCTCATTACCCTTGTCCCAACAGCCGCATTCGACATTTCAGAGTTCGTCGATATATACAGAGAAAGTACGGCCGCTGTCGTCCGAAACCGAATGCCGTCCACCGATCTGTAGTCGTGACACGCCGCCATCGTACAGCATGGATGTCGGGAGCAGTTACATCTGATCGACAGCGGGCCAGCGCTCCTGTATCGCTGTGTTACGTGTCTGCAGTTGGGGGGGGGGGGGGGGGGGGGAGGGCTGTGTCCAGTGCTGATGGGTGTGGTTGGAGCTGTGACAAGTGGTTGTGTACAGGTCTGTTAATAGCGGCTGGTTCGGATATGTTCTTTTATTGGCTCAACAGTCTGCACCGGTAAAAAGCCCATATCGGGTGATGTGAGTTGTGATTTGCCAGTGTTTCCTCGCTCACCGGGTGTCATTCGTGTCGCGCACTCATTGTAGGCGACATGTGAAATGAATGAGAGATGTGAGTGAATGAAATAACAAGTGGTGAGTGTCGCGCACTCATGGTATGCCCATGCGACATGTGAAATAGGTAGGCGTGTAACATAACTTTGTTTGCAACATTCAGTGTCCGTTTTGCTGTTTGTTTGTCGCCACGGCATCGTTTTTAAATAGGTCGTGTGCACACATTGGCGTTCCATATCGTTGTCATGTGACCACAGGAGCGCAAGTCACCATGTTGACTGTTGGTGCGCGCCCCCCCCCCCCCTTCCCCTGAGCACGCATTCAGCATTCTGGACACGGTGTTATTGCGACGATGCTTAAATGACTGCCAGGTGACCCGGTTTACCAATACAAGGGGGAACCGTACGAGGCGGTGTCTGAAGGTCTGCTGCTGCTGTTACTGTAGTTGAAAAGCGGTTGAAAAAGGCTGAAAGGCTGTTGAAAAAGTCGAAAAAGCTGTTGTTCAGCCGCCCACTTTATTCGTCACAACAAGCGGCTTTGCACAGTTTTATCACAGACACCACATGCACAGACTTCTGTGTTTTGATTCTACTGGGTTCCGTTAGACGGGCGAGGCTGCTAGCACACAGACTAGCACAACACAGCTACCACGACTCGGCTCTAGAAAACTATTGCCACCGCTTCATTTGTACACACGGCCACTGGAAGAAACGGAAACGCCGGCTACGCACGCTGCAGAAAACTACCAGCGATGCTCGAGCAGCACTAATCCTGGAAGCAGCTAGTTCTCGTACGATTTCATCGAACACAACTCTGCGCCAGGCGAGCGCGGTCCGCCGGCCCTGGACCGCCTCCGGCGTCGCCTTGGAATGCTCGCTCTACACGTCGCCAGCGAACTCACTACAGCCCGCCGCCACGACGCTCGCTTCAGATGACAGCACGGTCGGTGCGGCCGTTGACCTAGGTGGCGCCACTGGTCTCGGCGGCGCTGCCCCAGCCGGGCTTATGGCCCTGGCTCCAGGCGGCACCGCTGCAACGTCCCGAGTGCACGTGGCTGGACATGTG